AACTACAGGAGGATCCCTTAGAAGCTCGGCTAGTTAGGCATAGAGCAGCACATTTCTCTTTAGTTGAAGGCCAATTGTATAAACGAGCAACATCAATGCCCTTATTGCATTGCCTTACCTCTTATGAGGCCAAGTATGTGGTTAGGGAAGTACATGAAGGAGTATGTGACACTCATATAGGTGGGAAAACTTTAGTTCGGAAAGTTCTCGGGTAGGGAAATTGTTGACGACCACTTAAGATTTTTTTCAAAAATAAATGAAAAATTATTAAGTGTGAAAATATAAAAAGAGGGAGTCGCCACTCATCCAAATTATAAGGTGGGACAAGTCACCTAAAACGAGTCTACGCAGAGATCGGGGTTCGGGGGTTCGGTTAAGAGTGAGGAAGGGCATACGCGCACCTCACAATCCTCCGTTTAAACACGGTTGCATACTTTAACATTGGGGTTTTGATTCAACTTACTCGTTGTGTTTATGTTTGAGTCTTAATAGGTAAGTTTGAAAGAAGGGTAAACCAAATTGAAACATTTTTTAATTTTTGGGCTAAAATGGACAAAATCAAAGACAAGCATGCATCATAAGCACAAATAAAATTAAACGGACTAATTTTGATTAAATTCGAAACATGAAGGACTGATTTGATTAAGATTCAAAACATGAAGAATTGATTTGAAAAGAGTTGAAACCCATGGACTGAATTGCTGATGAAAGCATGAAAATGTATATCTAAAATGTGCTTAACCATGGACATTTGTGGAATTATGGGTTTAAGAGTTATATTTTTCTACAAATAATTTCACAATTGTTCACTCTATTCATGTTGTGCAAAATTTTGGTGATTAAAGGTTTGATGACTAAATGGAGAGAATTAAAAGAAAAAGGACTTAAATGCAAAGAGCTGAAAAGATGAGGATCTAAGGACAAATCAAAAGTTTAAAGGCTCAAGTGAGATTTTCTCCATTCTTGATCAAGGAGCATATTGCAAAGCTTAGAAATATGATGATCAACTTGCACGGAGTCCAGGAGTCAGGGACCAAGACTGTTATTCTGCCATTAAGCAAAATTGCACAAAAGGCCAAAAACTTGACACGGAGGATGCAGCTGACCCTCCACGCAAAGTGCCGGCACCTTATAAAGAGTGTCGACCCCTTGCGCGGTAATTCAGCCCAGCCCCACATCCATTCTAATTAGGGTTTCTAGGATTCTATAAATAACCATCCAAGTTATTTTAGAGGGAGTTCCAGGGGCTGGAGAGACTGCTACCAGACTTCTATTCTCTTCTTTAAGGCCAGAGAATTATGTCGAAGGGCAACTAAACTTTCAACAAGACTATGGAGGATCTTGATTGAAGAGTTTGACTTGTTATTTTATTTTGATTCCTTCATAGATTTTATTGTTTAATTTTATTTTTGAGAGATTGTTAATTATTTTCAGATCTGAAAACCCTGAAAATTATATTTATCAAATTTCATATAAGATTAGTCATGCTCTTTTCATGTGTGATTTGTTAGAATATAATTGATTGGTAGATTTGTTTTATAGGTTGATCATTTACTGCAGTATTATCGATTAGATATATTGTCGCTCTTGGATAGCTCGTAAGGATAGATCAGTTTGTTCTTCATTGAAATTAATTTTTCTCAGAATAAATACATTAGTCATTATTATTGGTTTTCAAAGTTGAATCTTCCGATTGTTTGTTTGGAATGTGAAACATGCAATTGAGTAATAAATAGGAATCAAAATTTATAACAGTTAAACAAATCAATTAAGTGAACCCTGAAGTCTTGTTCATCATAATATTGTTTTTAATCTTTTACAATTATCATCTTTTATTTAAATATTTTTATTCTTAATTTTA